GAGAGAGAGAGAGAGAGAGAGAGAGATATGAGAGAGACGAGGGAGAGAGAGAGAGAGAGGAGAGAGAGAGAGAGGAGAGAGAGAGAGGGGAGAGAGAGAGAGAGGAAGAGGAGAGAGGGAGAGAGAGGAGAGAGAGAGAGAGAGAGAGAGAGAGAGAGAGAGAGAGAGAGAGAGAGAGAGAGAGAGAGAGAGAGAGAGGAGAGGAGAGAGAGAGAGAGAGAGAGAGAGAGAGAGAGAGAGAGAGAGAGAGAGAAGAAGAGAGAGAGAGAGAGAGAGAGAGAGAGAGAGAGAGAGAGAGAGAGAGAGAGAGAGAGAGACAGAGAGAGAGAGAGAGAGGGAGAGAGAGAGAGAGAGAGACAGAGAGAGAGAGAGAGAGAGACAGAGAGAGAGAGAGAGAGAAGAAGGAGAGAGAGAGAGAGAGAGAGAGAGAGAGAGAGAGAGAGAGAGAGAGAGAGAGAGAGAGAGAGAGAGAGAGGAGAGAGAGAGAGAGAGAGAGAGAGAGAGAGAGAGAGAGAGAGAGAGAGAGAGAGAGAGAGAGAGAGAGAGAGGAGAGAGAGAGAGAGAGAGAGAGAGAGAGAAGAGAGAAAGAGAGAGAGATCCGAGGAGGAGAGAGAGAAGAGAGACTAACAAATGAGGGCTGAGACCTCTACAACAGGGCTTTACGTCTGAAAACAACCGCACGAATTAACAAGCAAGTTGTCAGAGAACAGGGAGAGAGACGGGCAGGCAGGCCAGCAGGCAGGCATATAATGAAAATATGGCGATAGTGATCCGTCTGACCTCAAGGGTTCATGCTGTGTGGAACAGCAGCAGTGCGAAATTGGGCCGGGTACGGTATGGCCGCACCTCGCTGGGCAACGCATTCCAGAGCCTAGCTCCTTGGAACGCGAGACAACCCTTACCCAGCTCAGTGCCAGTGGCCGAGACTAGACGACATAATTGTAGAGTCTAGACTCTAGTGCATGTGCCACTCCAGTGCATGAACCCGCGATGAAGTACCGCGTAGATCTCGACCTACCATACCTACATGTACATGCACATGTATGTACGCGTATACTTGGCATTGGCCGGATTTTTTTGGCGACGTGTAGTCATGGTAGTAGTATTACCGGTACATGTACATGTAGAGCACTAACTAACTTACTTGAATCGTTTTAGTAAACTGTATTATCACTCCCTTAGTATTGACTCACATAGATTTTTGCCATACCTAAGCAGTCAAATTTTCCTGCATATTTCACTCCTTTGGGCTATATTGACTGCTTACATTTGACTGCTCAGGGGTCGTGCAGTTGAACGGTGCCTAGTGCAGCATTGTCACTGCATGAGTAGGTGGTGGTGCAACGGTTGTGCAATCATAAAACCGGGATTCATGAGGTTACCGTTCTGGAATTTGAAATACGGACTGTTTGTCGTGATAAATCTAATATTGACTTCGTACTTGGTCAGTAAAGCCTAGGAAATAAAAACCTCGTAAAAGACCTCGGCTTTTATTTCCTATATTGACCTCGTACTCAGTCAATATTAGATACAAGTTATTAGACATGGTTAGCATTTTACCGTTCACGCCATTTCGACGGTCGGCGTGTAGAGGGCGAGTCTATTGTTTTTGATGTGTTTTCGAGGCACGGTTAGCAGTTCGGCTTCTGAGTCCTGACTCCTGACGCAACGATAGACGTGTGAGGTAACTCTAGTTGGAATCTTACCGTTTCGTTCTCCCGCTAAAAAGAGCTTTCTATCGTCGAAACGGTACCAAACCCAAAAATAGCGTGAACGGTAAAAATATTAATGCTAACCATAGAGAGGTTGTGCATAACGAAAATTCGTAAAGATCTTTCGGAATCTGAGCCGTCTGGAAGTGACGAAAATTCATAAAGACAATCTGTTGTGCTCAACGAAACACGTAGTGTGACCCTTTCGAGTACTTTTTCCGCTGTTTGCGCTCTTGGTGAACAATTTTTTGAATCAAGTGTGTACTCCGGCCCACGTGTAGGCACACGTGTAGGCACACGTGTCAGCACACGTGTGCCTGTAGGGTAGAGTAGAGGAAGACGTTTTTATCAATTGTACTTTGTTGTTGCAGTGTTGACTATTCTAATCTTCATGGACTTGGAAGAGTACGAAAGCCTTACGGCTATCCTGCTTCTCGCCCACTCTGAGGGCGATGTTGATGATGAGGAACTTATTTTATTGCTTATGGCAGCAGAAGAGGACCGGCAGCTTTCGCAACGCCGTGTTCTCGGCCCTCGAATTTGCCTGGGATCGTTGGATGACGAAACATGTGAGCTGAGGTTCCACTTCTCCAATGCGGAAATAAGGGAGTTGAATCACGCTCTCCGCCTGCCGCAGAAGTTTGTAGGACCATCACGTACGGCATGGACAGGGCTGGAAGGTTTGATGGTAGTCTTGCGTCGCCTGGCCTATCCTTGTCGCCTTTGTGAGCTGTCCGATGAGTTTGGCAGAAGCTCTCCTGATCTCAGCAGAATTTTCAACACAACCTTGATTTGGATTTGGCGAAATTGGGGGCGCCTTCTTGAGGACCCTTTCACCAAGCCGCACCTCACTGCAGCACTCCTAGAGTCTTACCATACGGCCATCCGCAACAAGTCCGAGGTCGACTTACGGATTTGGGGCTTCATCGACGGTACAGTCCGACCAATCTGCCGACCAGGCTAGGAGCAACGGATGTATTATAATGGACACAAACGTGTTCATGCACTTAAATTTTAAGCAGTTAGGCCCCTTGCACACTACATAGAAAATCCCATTTTTGTTGCGTTCCTGTAAAAGTTACCATGCAAACGGTCTGCTTTTCGCGGGAAACCTAAAATGTTGCGCAAACGTATTCAGCAAACTCCAGACGGGTATACAAAGGTACGTTTATGTTTTATTTGCATTTCTGGACCTTAGTTTGCTTTGCACCTGTCCTTCCGTGAGACTTCTTGACTCTTGTCGTCAGCTCTTTTTTCCTTTCGATTTGTTCCTTGTTTTGAGTAGTTGCACGTTGTTTGTTTCCTTCTGTCGCGTTGAAGCTAGTTTGAGAAGATGAAGTTCAGCATGCCGAAAGTTGTGTTCAATGATGAGATGGAGGGGAAGTTGATAGAGCTGTGGGCACACTACCAGCGGGAGAAAAGTAGAACGATGAAGAAGAGGTCACAGAAGGAGAAAGAGATCACTGAAGACCTCAATCTGTATGCTAGGAGTGTTGGCCTGGACATGGCATTCGATGGGAAGTCGCAGATCCATGTCGAAGTGATAGCATTTCACCAACACTCGACAAACATTTCTGTAGACCAAGCTCGGAGAGAAAAGTTTAAAATTTTTAAAATTTCCCGCACTATCTCCATGCAGCACTGGTGAGGCGGCAGTTGCCATAGAAAATTTTATGAGTATTTTATTAAAACGAAAATGTCTTTTCAAGTGTGCAATGGAACTGATTGGGACTTGCTTGAAAGTGACGCATACGCTAAAAAGCAACTTTTTACTTGTACGTAGTGTGCAAGGGGCCTTACAACGCCCGACGGCTTGATTGCGCATTTGTATGGGCCCGTTGTCGGCAGTCGTCACGATGCTGGAGTACTTGGTGAAAGTGGATTACTGGCGCAGCTCCAGCAGCATATGCAGCTGCCGCATGGCCCACCATACGCACTCTATGGTGACACAGCTTATCCGCTAAGCCCCTATATCCAGAAGGGATATGTCGGTGCAGCTGCCATGCCCCAGCAACAATTGTTCAATGGCCGAATGAGCTCAGTGCGGCAGTGTGTGGAATGTTCATTTGGAGAAGTTTCACTGTACTGGGCCTTTGTGGACTTGAACAAGAACTTGAAAGTTCTCCTCCAGCCTGTGGGCATCTACTACCGAGTAGCAGCTCTACTGACTAATTGCCGAACCATAATCAGAGGTGGGAACAAGACGTCCAGATATTTCGGATTGCAGCCACCTACCCTTCTTCACTACTTGCAGTGAACATGTAAGCATGACCTGATCCTTGCGAGTGTGCCTTTTACTTGCAGCCTGGCACTGACACGGCAACGCACTCAGTAAAATAAATATGCATCGATTTGTATTCACATCATAAGTTCAAAACAGCTGAAGTATTGCATGTGTATGCGTTGACAAGCGCTATGATAGCTTATGGGCCAGTGCTTTCATGACGTCCATGAACGCTCTTCTCTCTCCCGCCATGTCTTCCTCACGCTTGTCGCCCCTTGCTTTGTCTGCCCGCTCCATCACTCTGCCGTGCTCTCTTTCTCATTTATCTGCAGCCAATTTCTCCCGCTCCAGCTCCATTTTCTCCCGCTCCAATTTCAACTTCTCATTTTCTTGCTGCTGCTGTGCTTTTGCTTTTTCCTTTTCAAACCTCGACCTCCTGGCGGCACATTGTGATATCATCCTTGTGCTTTGACTCAAGATAATCCAGGACAACCTCCGTCCCTTGCAGCTTTCGCTTGGCTTTAGGCTCAGCATGGCCAGCTTTGCAAACGTCTGACTTTTCTCCGAGCGTCAGGCATGCGTCATCGCGCGCTTCAGCAGCTAGGTGGCGCTTGGCTTGCGTAGCCTCCGCACGTCGCTGCATGGGCGTATCTTTCTCAGCGTAGATATCTTGCAGCTCTTGCAGCAGTTGCTCTTTCTCTGTTATATCTTCATTCGTACCAGACCTATGCAACACATACAGCAAGCGGAGAGGGAGAAGCGCGCGAACACACACACACATACAAACACACACACGTGCGGGTGCATGGGCAAGCGCAGGCACATACGCACAGGAAGAGAGGCTTGGTAACTACTACTTCAGTACATAGTAATAGTACATGGAATTGGTAACATGGACAAAGTGAAGCTTGAAAATTGCATGCATGTGAATCACACACAGCAGTAATCAGATCGACATGCATGTGAATTAGACACAGCAGTAATCAGATCGACATGCATGTGAATCACACACAGCAGTAATCAGATCGACATGCATGTACATGTACATGTATACGAAGCAAACAGAGTTGGGCTGCATGCAAAGCCAGTTCGTATAGGAACTTACATCCTTCTCTTCCAGTCGTCGCCTTTGGCGAACAGCTCCAGCAGCTTCATCACTCTGTCGCGAATAGCTTTCTTCGTCACACCACCGAACTGAGTTGGGCTCAAGTTTTCCAGCTCACAGGCAACGATCTCCATGGCTGGAGACCCTCGTCAAAACGGTTGGTCGTGAGAACGAAGCTGCCTGAGAAGGGCCAGGTCCTTCGCGAGATCAAATGTCCTTCACTGAGACGTCGCAGGGGAAGACGAAGACGGCGAAGTGGCAGAATTCTGCTGCGGGGATTCGGCAGAATAATTTGTCACAGGGCGAGCACTGACAGGACTTCCAGATCTGACAGAACTAGCCAAGCGCTGTCCAAGTGACAGAGGATCGCTGAGAGAGCGGGAAAGAGATCCATCAGCTCCACAGGATGCCGAGTAGGAATAGTCCGTGAGCCAAAACTCAAAATCACAAGTGCCGTTGCACTCTCGGATGGACAAATCGCCGCTTACAGTGTTGGTCAAGGACATCACAAAGGATACGTTTTCGCTTGTTGGCCGTTCCAGAACCGATCCAGAGACCTTCGCGAGGGCTTCTTTTCTCGACCAAATTCCACCGTGAGAACAAATATTTTTACGCGAGTGGTGAGGTGTGCGTCGTATGAGCAAGCGCAAAACACGAGTTCGCGTGGAGTGAGGAAAAATAATTTATTTTTTAGAAGATGACGACGTTGACGACAATATCGACTTGGGATATTGTGATCACTTTATTGAAGTTTATTCCTTTCGTGTACATTGATATTGTTTTGACAACAATGGAAGAAGAGGAAGACGTTTCTAGTGGCAGCGAGGTGCTGGATGAGGCAGCTGACGGCAACGAAGTGGCAAATGACAGCCCAGCGGAGTAATATTGCTGGAACTTTGTGTCTGTGTCACAGCGCCCAATTTAGTAAAAACGAGAAGCCTGCAGTGAGTAATATCGAGACTACAAGTTGGTGTCGCATCGTCAGCGCTGCTCGAGAGAAGGACGACCATATCTGGGCTTTTCTCTGCCAGCACAAGAGCTCAGGGAGGAGTAAATGGTGTGGCTGGTATCATGGAAAGTGCTACACCAATTGCACCCATAGCAATAATTGCAAACCTGGAGAAGACCAGTGCCTCTGATTTTGCTTTGTGTATACTTCCTGACAGTGATGTGCATATAGTAGTGAACCCAGAGCCACATCCTAAGGCCAGTAAGGGGCCACCTACCAGGAGCTTAGTGGTTGATACGAACAACGAATGCCATACCGGTAATCTGGTAATTATGAAGGCAGAGCACGGTGTAAACACAACACGGAGAACTGGTCCACCCAGAGTTTCCGGAAGGGAATGTTTTGTTGCAGGCAGCACTGGAGAGGGCAAGACGACAAGTAGCGAGGGCGAAACCAGCGCTGCTGGAGGTCCAAGCCAGAGCACCTGGCTGCTTTGCGGGCAACATACTACTGTATACCATTAGCTGTGTATGTGTGTGTGCGCACGTGTTTGTGTGTGCACATTTCTGGGTGTGCGTGTGTTTGTGTGTGTGCGCGCGCGTGCATGTGTGCGAGCGTGCATGTGTGCGAGCGTGCATGTGTGCGCGTGTTTGTGTGTGTGGGCGCGTGCATGTGTGTGTGTGCGCATGCATGTGTGTGTGTGCGCGTGTGTGTGCGAGTGTGCATGTGTGTGCGAGCGTGCATGTGTGTGCGCGCGCGTGCATGTGCGTGCTAGGCGTTTTCCTTTGTTGGTGACACCACCCCAGGCTACTACTGGTGTTGGGGCACGGTGTTGCCACAGCCACTGCGGCCATTGCGATCCGTGTTTCAGGTCGTTGGTGGGTTTTAGATTCCGAAATTGTCGACATGGTGTGCGCCGTGTGTGTGTGTGTGTGTGTGTGTGTGTGTGTGTGTGTGTGTGTGTGTGTGTGTGTGTGTGTGTGTGAAACCCGACAGCATTGGTGTGATGTTGTCCGAAGAGACATCCATCACTTACATCTTGAAGGACATTGGTTCGACACTGCACAGCAGCGAGGAGAGTGGCGCACAGCATTCAGAATTGCTTCACCACCACAGCTAGCCGGCCTCCCGTGATCGGATTCAGTGTAGTATTTGTAACATTTCCTTTTCGAAGAGCGGCCTGCCATGCCACAAGTGTACTCAAGAGCGTCGCAAACCTGTAGCAGACCAGTCTGGCAGCAGCCAATGCACCGTATGTCTTCGCTGGTTTCGCAGTCATGGCAGACTGACATAGTTGGATTCGGCAGCTGGTTCATGTGTGTGTGCACACGCACGCGCTTGCGCGCGCGTGCCTGGGAGACTGCATAGTCGCATTCGGCAGCTGGTTCATGTGTGTGTGCGCGCACACACGCGTGCGCATAAGCGTGTTTGTGCGCGCGTGCCTGGGAGACTGCATAGTCAGATTCGGCAGCTGGTTCATGTGTGTGTGTGTGTGCGCACGCGCGCGCGTGTTTGTGTGGATTCGGCAGCTGGTTCATGTGTGTGTGTGTGTGTGCGAGCGTGCATGCCTGGGAGACTGTATAGTTGGATTCGGCAGCTGGTTCGTGTGTGTGCGCGTGCCTGGGAGACTGCATAGTCGGATTCTTCAGCTGCTTCATGTGTGTGTGTGTGTGTGTGTGTGTGTGTGCGCACGCGTGTGGGTGTGGGTGCGCGCGCATGCATGCATGTATGTATGTGACATCATCTTATATCGTAGTTATCTGTGGATTACTATGTTCTGCGGTGGATTGCGACAGCACACATTATGTGCCAAGATGTGTACCTGGTGATTTGCAACTGTGTTATGTTGAGTTGAAAATGAGCAATGACAGATAGCTTTTGGTGCTGTATGAGTGTGTTAGGAAATCAATAGCCAATTCTAACCTCTTGCATTGGCCGTCAGGTTGGATAGGATCAGCGCGTGCATTTACAACAGTGGTGACGTACTTCCTATTGTACTACCGTAATGTCACAATACCTTCAGTGTTCATATCATTATAATACTGGAGTATTCTGGAGTTGGCCTAGGAAGTGGTGAACAAATATGTCGAGAGATATTTAGGACATTCTTGGAAGTCAGTTCTGAACGATTGCATTGTAACTACAAACAGTAGGGACTTTGCTGCATGCAGTATGCATCCCGATTCATAATTCTCAGCGGCAAAAAAATTCGAATCTAGTTTTGTGCACTGGTTTTCGCGTTATGTGCACTCGTGGTATCTGCTCATGGCTTCAAGAAAAGAGAATCCGTGAACAAGCGCAAAATAATCAAGCGAAGAAGGCGAAAATGGCCGCTGCTGTCAGTGAGCAAAGTTGGATGTTAGGCGTCTTCTGTGACCTCCCTGGATCAGTTTCGAAATGTCCAACAAGTGGAAATCGCTTCAGGATACCATCGTGAAGCGGTGTGCTGAAGGACGATTTGTCCCTCTCTGGGTGCAACGGTCGATGCTAAAACGGCCGATTCTGAGATTTGGCTCACGGACTAGAAGAACTCGCAGAACGACTTGAAAAGGCTATGGCGAAAAAATCTTCACACCACGTGCATCAACACAGCTACATGTATACAGAAGCTTGCGAGAAAGTAGCGAAAGTTCAAAACGTAAGATCTTCAAGTTTCGCGGCCCTCCTTGCGAAAGTTCCTTTCCTTTTTCGTTACTCGTGCCCAGACTACGTCTAAGTTACGAATTTTCGTTATGCACAACCTCTCTCATGTCTATTATTAAAGGGGAAGTGCATCGATTTGTCAAGTAGGGCTCAGATGAAAGACAATTTCATATCGGTTCCGATGGTATATCTCTCGCCTCCGTACGATATTGCAAACTTGCCATATCGCCGATTTTCTGATTGCGTTTCCATGGCGACTACAGGTGATGACGCACATTCTGCTTAGCTCCGTGAGGGAGAAGGTCGATCACTGCAGAATTGTGTCATTTTCAGTTGTCTTATTGTATTCACGAAGTGAAAGAAATGCTGTGTTCAATGCTGTCAGTGCCGTGAACTGTTTATTAGTAGTCCTCTCCGTTGTGTACTGGGACGTGACACCGACAGGAGAAAGCTGGAGTGCGGAGACGTTAGCTGGCAAGCGAAAATCGTGACGAACCAAGTGCTGAAATCTTGGTTGGGACAAATCAAACGTTCAGCATTTACCTCAACCAAGGACCATGCGGTTTGCTCTTTCCACTTCCTGACGATGGATGCGCTGCCTGCTGGAGATTCTCCTATCTCTCGTAACCTATTCTGAAGCCACGTGAGACGACGGGTAGCGGTAATTAGCGAACAAAATAATGTCGTATGTTTTGAAATGTTTGCTGAACAGTTTTGTGCCATTTTGTCGCACTCGCTGACTGTAAAATTATGATCTGGTTACGTTGGTGGACAGTTAGTCATAAAATGTACATGTACATGTGTACATGTTATTAGTATACAATCATGTCAACAAACAATGGAATCTCTCGTAATGTTTTGCTACTCTGAGTTTCGTGCACCGTGTGCAATCATCAGGCAAACAATATTGATGATTGCACACAGTGCATGAAACTCTGAGTAGCAAAACATTACGAGAGATTCCATTGTTTGTTGACATGTGTCATTGTTCCCCCCAAGAAATTGGAATATTGAGCACTTTTTCTGCAGGCATAGTCTTACTGAGTAATTATTATTATAATGTACCTGTACATGTAACTGGTAACTGGTAACATGTTTTTCTTCTCCTTTTGTACCATAATTAAATTAGCTAACATGTATAACCGCCAACCCTTGTTCTTTTCTCACTCACAAGTCAGTACTATATACACGTACATGTACATGTACACACCTGCACACATACTCACACACACACTGTACCAAGAGTACATCTTGGTCGAGCGGAATCGGATCTTTGCGTCATAATACCGTACACATCTGAGGGAAACCCGGGGAGTCGCGGGTACTCTTGGATCAAAAACAATGGTGCCCTGCCTCGAGACCGGCCTTGCGCGGGTGTGAAGTGTACGCATGACATCAGAAGATCCGATTCCGCTCGACCAAGACCCTACACAGAGCTGGATCGGCGTTGCACACTCTGGGGGGTTATGTACTCTTGACTGTACTGTACTGTACTTGTTGCTCACTGCCAAAACTGGTCACGTGAGTCTCCCCGGGAGAGGGGAGAGAGACTCAAAAGGAATCTTGGAAAGATGACTCAATTGGTTATTGAACTGCCCAACGGCCGACACCCCCTGAAATCCCCAAACCTCTGGGTGGACTTGAAAATGATCCCACTTATGGGCTCACCACACCTCAGTAAGTGGGTGAGGACAAGGTGCAGAAAAAGGATGGACGGCATCAGGGTATCCGTCCCGGGATCCAACTGCAGTTACCCCTGCCCCCAGTGAAGGTAATACTTGCTACTAGTGTGATTGGCTAAATCAGAGTGGATCTGATAAAAGCTTCACTAGCACCATTGATTACACAAGAGTTAATCTAGCCAGAAGCAGTCCATGGTTAACAGGTATGTATACTTCAAATAGAAAGTGTATGAACCCTGGAACCAAGAAAGGTGGTGGGTACAACATTACACCTTCAAGCAGCCGAGCCTGTTGGCAACATACCCTACACAATCAGGCATAAGTGTACCTACCAACCGAACTACAGTCCGTTTCAAAAAGATTTACAATCCTGGCGATCGCCCGCGGAGTTTGGCGTCTTACCGTATGAGCACGCGAGCGCTGCCTGGAAAAACTCACTGTGAACTCGAAGAAATATTCCGCGCGAAAGCAAGAAAAATGACAACTCACTCACGTTGACGCAGCCATGGACGTCTGGTTTACAACAAACGAGTTCTTCCTCGTATCGATAATGGAGTCAGAGAGGAAACGTCGAAACGAAAGTGTTGTAAATGTTGACGAGCGGCATGGGTCCCAATTCGTTTTGTGACCAAAATAGTTTCTTTGAGCTGCGATGCAATTTACTCACCGTGTGACGAAAACGACATCGACACGGACTCATTCCCAAGGCCATGACTTGGCAAAGCTATCCGTGTGACTTCGACGAGAAAAGCAAACGCTTGTGAACGCTGA